ACTAGAATGAAAATAGGAAGCATGGTAAGATGCAGAGTAGATGTGCCAGACTAAACTGGAATCTCTTTTTGAAATAATAATTTTCTGGACAAAACATGCAGTAGAGTTCATCTGCTCTGAGTTAAGCAAAGCATTTCATAAAGTAGCACATGTGAAATCATTACCTAAGAGGGAAAAGAGAATTTGGAGGAAAAATATGCTGAGTATCAAATGAGGAGGTGACAGATTGGGCTGGTAGGGTGTGTATAAGCCTTCAGGGAGATAATCAATGAGGTTTTTAAAGGATGACATGAAACTGAACTTACCAGATGGTATTATTATCAGATCTATGGAAAATGTACATTTGTGCTGATGCAATTCTCAGAAGTCACTGAGGGTGTGGCTGAGCAAAATGTTTTTTTGAGGTTGGTAGTCCTCCTTTGAAATAAATCTCCAAGTTGGCCTCATGTACCACGCTTCAGCTCATCCCAAAGAGCAATCTCACAGCACACACTGGACTCCCTTCAGAGGCAAATAAATGAGAAGCTACCATCCAGAAGCCCATAACATATTCCAATCATCAAAGGATGTTCAGTCCAACCAGCCCAAGCATGAGCTAGTCAAGTAAAGTCTCTAAAATGCAACCAGGATGGACAGTGAGCCCGTGGCAACAAGCACAGATCTACTCCTGTTGGGCTGCACTGAGTAGGTAAGTGTTGCCAATATAAAAGAGATCAGAAGGAAAACTGAATTGTCCAATGGCATGGAATGAAATGGAATATAATAATAAAAGTGAAAAAACCATGTAATTTAGAGGCCAAAAGCAGACACAGTATTGCCTACAAAGTAGGAACCTACTCTGAGAACAAAAAGATCCTAAACAACTTGGATGGTGAATCACAGGATACTTCTGACCAATTAAGTGATTAATTTCTTTAAAAATATGAAAAACAAACCCCTAGAAACATCAATATATTTGCACAGTATATGAGGTTACTCCTGGAACAATTTTTTTTTAATAGTGAAGTCGTTGGCTGTTGCAATGAAATTACAGTGATGACAAGAATTGCCAACTGATAAGGGAAATATATTTACTGGCAACTCATAATTAATCTGCAGTAGTTTTCAAAATTACACCAGTGAACTGAAAGGCTTAGTGGGATTCAGAAATTGATTAGACGTTTCTGTGAATGCTATCCTGAATAATTACACTAGCTGGAATAAAAACTGGTAAGGGGAAACAATGGCTTAATGTTTTTTCCTATGGACAATTCACAGTGGTTGTAGACAACTCTCCACTAAAGCATTATCTACCTTGAATTAGAACCAACATAACAGATTAGACATACAGATTTTTATTTAATACAGTGAGATGCTTTATTTCAATTTCAATGAACTTTTTTTTTTTTTAATTTGGCTTGGAGGGGAACCTTGAAGATCATCTAGTTCCAAGCCCTCTGACATGGGCAGGGATATTTTCAACTCACCAGGTTACTCAGAGCCCCATTCAACCAGGCCTTGAACACCTCCAGGAATAAGGCATCCACTATTTCTCCTGGCAATCTATGTCAGTGACTCACCACCCTCACAGTAAATATTTTTTCCTAATATTTAATTTAAACCTACTCACTTTCAATTTGAATATGTGTCCCCTTGTCCTGTCACTGTGTGCTCTTGTAAATAGTTTTGCCCCATCTTTCTAGTATGCTAGCTTTGGGTACTGGAAAGCCACAATTAGGTCACCCTGAGGCCTTCTCTTCTCCTGGTTGAATAATCCCAATCTCTCAGCCTTTCCTCATAGGAAAGGTGCTCCAGCCCTCTGATCAACTTGGTGGCCTCCTCTGGACTCACTCCAAGAGGTCCATGTCCTTGGGACCCTAGAGTTGGATGCAGCACTGCAGGTGCTCACCAGAGCAGAGCAAAGGGGTAGAATCTCCTCCCTTGACCTGCTGGGTGTTCTAAAATATAAGTATAATTATATATAATATAAGTATTCTAACTATCTCATTTCCATTCCTAATGAGACTTAGAGTTGTAATTCTGCCAACTGTTACTCAAAAAAGTAATACTATTAAGAAATGGGCTTTACTGAATTTGTAAAATACTTGAGGTTTATTTCAGATACTGAATTTTGAAATATAAACCAATATGGTCATACATAGAACATGGATGGAGGAATTAATAAGTGTCACTTGAAAGTTAAACCAAATAGCTGTGATAACTGCAATCAATTTGCTCCTGAGTTTAATTTGAAAATATTTAGACAAGGGGCATGAATTTGCCCTTGAGTAGCTAAATCATACTAATTGAAGCACTCCTACATTGTAATGGGCTATTTATTCCATTTTCCCTCTCATATATACATGCACAGTCTTGCTAAAAGATTTATATTGCTCATCACAATACCATATTTGGTAGGAAAATTAACAAAAAAAAAAAAAAAAAAAAAAAGAGTGCTGGGAAGATGAAGGCAGAATTTCCTGGAAAGGATTAAGGATTAGAAAAAAGCTCATATAAAGAAATAATTTAAGATTATAAGACTAAAGCAATCCAGGAACTCCATAAACAGAATGAAACTCTTCTCAGAGAGAAGCTGCTGCAGCAGGTTAATCCTATTTCCCAAATTTCTCTCAGCAGGAACTATAGGACCAGCAATGCTGGAACTTAGGATCTGAGAAAAGCAATATAATATGGTTGAAAAAAAAAATTTACTTAGGTAATGTAAGAGGCAGGACAGTTGTATATGTCTATCTCCCAACCTGGCAACCTCAACAATTTTGCTCAGTTAATAACATAAAATTCCACTTTCTTCCAAAACCATAACGAGGGTGCCAGATCACTCTTCCATCTTTTACACAGTACCAGCCTTAGGGCAGCCATCAGGATGAGTAACACTGTGCCAAAATCCTTCTGCTGCTGAGAAAACTCATGCCTTCCCATCCATTAAACTGTGTACAATTGAGCAGCTGAAAGCATTTGTCAATCCCTCCTGCTGCACTTGGCACTGCTCCGCAAGAAGAGTTTGGTTCGTTGCCTCCCAGGGAGAGTAAATTGGAATCACCAGGGAGTAGTTAAACTATCAACCTGTCAAGAACCCGAGCCCTGTTTCAAGGATTTTATCCAGCAACCACTTCATGTAAAATACAGAAGCAATTCTGGAAGAGATTGTAACCCAGCATTGTAACCCTATCATTGCAGAGTGCTGCTTTTTATTTCCGGATGAAATTTGCCCAAAAAGTGTGCTTTGCTCAGGAGGGGCAGAGGTAACCATCAGTCTGATCCACAGGCAGTGATTAAGAAGCTTTCCTAAGAAGTAGAAACTACATTTGTAAATACTCTTAGGCAGAGGAAGGAGAAAACTCACTGTTTTATGATCTAAATGATTTTTTTTTAGTAACTACATATAAAGGATGCAGAACCATAATAGGTCCTCTGAATAGATGTAAGGTTTAGCTTCTTATTCTAGGAAAAAAGTTTGTGGTGCAGCTCCACAATTGTTTCCTCTGATGACAAAATTGTCCTGATTTTGGCTTTTTACCCTGCAGTATCTGAGAAACTCATTGTGGTACTGCACATCAATATTGGCAAGCAAAATTTAAAAATGTCATTAAATAGGCATATAAATATCCTATAAGAAATAGGATATTTATAGCCTAAAGATACAGTTTAAGACATGCTTTTGTCTTTATCAGTTCCTTACTTGCCAACAGCATATGGCTCTTATTTTTGCCACTGTAAGGATCCTCTATACCCCTGTGTATTGCAAAGGTACAGCCATCTTTGCCCTACTGCAATTTCTGACGTCTGACTGTTTAGGCCTCTTGAACATCTACAAGTCTTCCCAACCTAAGCTTGAGTTGGAAACACCTAAGGAATATGAAACTATGCAGTGTCCTGCATGAACTCTGAAGGGAGGTGATCCTTCCCCTCTACACAGAACTGGTGAGGGCACATCTGGAGTGCTGGGTCCAGTTCTGGTCTCCTCAGAACAAGAAAGACATGCACATACTGGAGCCGATTGTGTGAAGGGCCACAAAGATGATGAAGGGACTTATGAGGAATGGCTGAACCAGCTGGGACTGTTCAGCCTACAGAAGGCTCAGGAGGAAATTGTATAAATACCCAAAGGAGGCACAAAAGAGAAGGAGCCAGGCTCTGGAAAGAGTCAGGACAAGGGACAATGGGCGCAAAGTGAAACATAGGAGGGTGCCTATGACCATTAGATAACCTCTTTGACTGTGAGGGTGACCGAGCACTGGCACAGGTCACAAAGGGAGGTCGTAGGTCACTCTCCTTGGGGTTATGCAAAAAACATCTTGACACAGTTCTGGGCAACCAGCTCATGGTGAGACAGCCCTGCTTGTGCAGGAAGGGGGGTTGGACAAGATGACCTCCACACGTCCCTTTTAACCTCAACAGTCCTGTGATTATCTGAATTAAATACTTCATTTTATGTTAATATGGGAACATTTTTGTAGTAGGTCTGTCAGCCATGAAGTTTCTCTATATGGCTCTATTTTGATAGCTTTACCTTGGTAAACCTTTCCCAAGTGAGTACATCTTTCAGTAATTACTATCTGTGGTAAAATTAAAAGCTCATCCCCTGCTATACTTACAAAGGAACTACCATTCCCACATATGATAGTACGTGGAAAGTCTTTTAAGCTATGATTTAATGTAGCTATTAAGGAAATAAAAAGCTTACATCACTCAAATCTTTAATGGTGTTTTCCATTTTGAAAATAATATTTACTGCCAAACTAAAAAGAGCATGATGTTCTTTTTACACAAAATTTCTTGTAGCAAAACCACTTTGAATACATTTCACATTTCATCAGTAAAAAAAGCATTCAGCCTTTCCATGTGTAGACATGTCACTGACATCAATTACTCATGAAGAAATATCTTGTGGTGGGCTAAAAATTTAGGCACAATGTTGTGTACAGTAACATGATACCCAATTATACTTTGGTACATAAAATTAGAGATCACAGAGGAAAAAACAGGTCTTACAACAGACATGTGAAGAGAGACATTTTATTGCAAAAAATAGCAAATGTCTTAAGAACACAAACCAGTGAGTTATTAAAAGCTTCATAGCAAAATATTTAGCCAACTCTGTTACAATATATAGGCTTGAGGTTCTAACAGTTAACACTATGCCTCAACTCACCGAGCAAGTAATGCTCCTGATACATAAACACTGCGCAGTTGAAATACAGAGCTGAATATTAAAAAAAAAAAAAAAAAAAAAGAAGGTATTTTATCCTTGATCTTTCATAGTCTAAGTCTAAGAAATTACAACATTTCAACGAGCTTGATTTTTTTTTGGGAAAAGCCATTAAAAATAATTCCTGAGTATTTAGGGTAAGTGAATATATCAAATCCGACCAATGAAGACCAACACCCTGTTTGGGTGAGCCTTGCAGCTTTGAAGGGACATTCTCTAGCGTGGCTGTAATGGCAGGATTGTGGCCTAAACAGCAATGAAATACATGAAAACCTTCTGATATGCACATTCCAATGCTCCTTTTCTTTAACAATACAACTGTCAACTGTGAAGCTTGCTTTGCTGAGAAAAACATTGTTTTAAATGTCAATTCCTTTTGCAAAATCTTGTAGTGCAAATTGACATAGCCAAGCCTTTGGTAAACCATCACACCAATACTTATGTGAAATATATAAATCAAAATTTAGGCAAGGGGTTTTCATACTATGTTAGTATACTTATTGAATTGTATGCTTTGTATCAGTATTTTGAACATAGAGATCTAGTTATTTAGCATCTTGTGTTTGAAATGAGAGGCAATATATTCATTCCCCATTATTGTCTTCTGATGCAAGTTACAATATCATCTTATTATACATCATGTTTCTAAAATCCTGTTGGCATTCATCATCTTCCTAAGATTTTAATTGAATCTTTCTATTTTGAATTTAAAACTGCTGCCAATCAAAGTGGTTTAGAGATTTAGTCCCAGAAAAAAATTCAGATTGCTTACTTAATATATGCTTTTCCAGAAATACAGGATTAAATTACAATGGTTGTAGAAAGATTACTGTACAAAGCATAGTTAATAATTCACAACACTGGCATTCAGCTTGATCAATTACAGTGAATTCACAAAAATGGTTTTATTATATCCACTCTTTTCTATCCACCCACCCCAGTATGTAAACAAGTTTCTCACTATGACAATGGCAAGACTGCAGTTACTGAGATGTACTGCATGTGAAAGACAACACCTAGGAATAAAGCTCTGGATTTCACAATTCCAGTAAGTGCTCCTGTTCACTTCCCATTCTAGACCACAGGATAGACCACAGGAGCACTGCTTTCAGTCTCTTGCAGTCTTTAAATCAAGAGAACTCACAGGCAAATTGAGCTTTTTTTTCCTAATGCAGTCTACTGGAGTCAAATTGGTGAAAAGTAACATGCGTATATAGAACAAAAGAGATAGTGACTTGGGAATAATTGGAATCAGTAGTAACAAAATGGTCCAAGCAATGACAATGTACAGTATTGCAGCTGAATGCTACTAAGACAAGAAAGTCTTGGCATTACAATGACGAAGATCTCTGTTCGCACAAGCCACTTTTAATGGGCTATTAAGCATTTGGTTAAGAACAGGCTTGTACAGTCTCACTGAAAAATGCTTTTTTAAAAAATACCATATGCTAGCTTCTAAATTGCAATTTAAATATTAAAATCTTGTTTCAGAAGTTCCTCGCTTCAGGTTGTTACTCAAAAACTCATCATGTTCAAAACTCAAATTATTATGAGATCTTGATATCATAAGAAGCTTTTCCTTATTAGTAAAGTCTTTCTTGACTGCTGCTTGTGGCACAAGTAACCTATCCATTGGGTCCTCCTTGTTTTCTAGTTTCATATAGCCTTTACTGTTGCTCCGATCCAGTCTGGGCCAGCTGGGGTGTTTCCTTTGTTCAGCTTGGACAGTGAGCGTAGACGGACCCCTGTCCAAGTCCAGGGATTTAGAATGTGAAGACAAAAGATGCAAAGATGTGTTGGAACCAAACTGCTTCCTGGCAGCACCAGGAGATAAAAGCTTTCCTGAGCTTGGTCCAAGAGTCATGGAAGATTTGAAGGGATCAGATGGAGTATCCACAAAGGAATTGTGTCGTGGCAGCATGGAAGCAGCTGGTCTGTAGGATTCATTGGTATCAGTTAGTGGAATGGCCAGAGAATCCATTGACAGATTTCTAGACTGATTCCTGGTGATCTCTGAGTCCTCACTTATGTTGTCTATACTGGGTTCATCGATAACACAGTTATTCAGTTTAATTACTGGCAGTGTGAAAGCACTAATGGAAGAAGATACAATGGATTTTGTTTCACACTTTATAGAGTTAGTGTTTTTGTCATCTGAAGCCTTGCTGGAGTGAGGGTAAAGTCCAAAGACTGAACCAGACTGCTCAGCCAGCAGAGGTGGCAGGAGACTACTAGTGGTCCTATCTTCATTTAGGGTAATCTCATCTTCTTCAGCAGAACTATCCATTCTAAGATTACTCTTGAAGCCAGAGAAAGGCGCAACTGTGTTTGCAGCCAGCCGTGATGCACAGGAGCTCCCACTGTGCCGGAGTTCTGCTTCCCCCAACAAGCCAGTGAAGGCACCACTCAGCTGCTTTTGTTCCCTGATCCTCAGGGTGTGGATGTCTATTACGGTGGAGTATATGTCTCTCATGTGTATTATTTTTGTTTCCTTGTCACGGTTTTCATGCAGAATGGCATTTGCACAAATAAAAATGAAGATTCCAATGCCCATAGTGAAAGGGCCCAGCATTTTCATCTTATCCGAGTGCACATGCTGTTCAAAGAAGCGGAGCAAAATGCTTCCTTGGCTTCTCGGGGTCCGGGTTTCATTTACAGACGGATTATCTTTAGATCCTAACAGCTGTTCCTTCTGGGGCCAGTATCCAAGGATGGCCATTGCAATTCCAAAGAATGCGATAAGCACTCCCAAAACAAGAAAGAATCCCGATGGAGAATAGAGACGGATTTTGCCCCTGACAATTACCACATCTGTCCTGGGCCGGCGTCTAACGGGTTTCTTCTCCTCAGGAACTGGTACTCCAGCAAGATTTACATGTTGCTGAGATCTGGCAGAGTCTTGCCTTTTTAAGGCAGCCAGTCCTGTTATGACTCCTCCGGTTGCTATCATAGTTCTATATTGTGCCCTGGAGAAAAAAAGAAGCAGAAATGTTGAGGAAAGCAAACGTCGTCTCTACAAAACTAAATAGCTTTTTGTTAATACGCAAATATTTCTTGATAATTAAAACACTCCTGACTATAAAAAAAGCTACTACTATAGCTCCAGTTGTGACATAGCCACAGTTTCAAAATTCACATGGTATGCTAAAAAAAAAGATTTTCCAGAAGTCCTTTTTCACTCTAAATATAGAGAATAAAGCTTCCATCAGTGATACAGACAGTAAAGCTAGTGCTCTTAGTGATATATCAGGAATACAGACAAAATATCCATAAGTCTTACCAGGTAATATATCTCTGGACTGGTCTGCAGCAAAGTCAATAATGTATTATTACCTTGTTGATAATTTAAGCACTTTAGCTAGTAGTTCTTTTTAAAACTTCTGAGACACAATGACGGTGACTACAGTTCATTCTACATTTCCCCTTCAAGAGATCTTTCCTGATAGATTTCAGCATATATTCATACATATTTATTACAGCATTTAAATAAGCTTTTATCAAGTCTATTCAGATTTCCTGAGTTTCAGCTAAAGAATCAGTTTTGCCTTTCTTAATAATGCTGATCTTCACATATCTAGATATTTTTCCTCCTTTGTTCGTTCCTCTTGGACTACAGGTCAAAAACCTCAGTTAAGTTTTATCAGACAATAAATTTTCATAAATTTCAAATTAATAATTTCCAATTTTCTTAGTTTTTATGAGGAAATTTTATTTCATTTTATCTTACTTTGGTACCTGTTTGCCTGTTACATGAGAAATATTAACCAGCAAGGGTTTAAAAGAGAAAGTCATATTTGATAGTTTTTTATGAGCAATCTTAACAAATGGAACAACATAGTTCAGGATAATTCTATTCTAGAAGGCATTTTTGATTCAAAAATCATTTCTGCACTTAATTAACTAGTATTAGAATTAATGAGAGCTGACATCGAGTAAAATTAAGACACTCTAAGTTAGGTATGAAAAAATTATGTCCTCTTTGGTAGTGTTATTATGCTCAGAGATAGAGAAAGGATGACAGCCTGTTGCAGAGGAAAAGGTTCAGTGTCAAAGCCGGGGGTGGTTTAAGAAGCTAAACCAAAGTGGGACTGAGTGAACAAATAGAAGTGCTGCAAAGTAGAGGTAAAGCAAATTGGTGACTGCTTGCCATTCACAGGCAGTAATTTTCATCAGATCTCTCAAACTTGTAATTTTGTTTTAAATTTAAGCAGTGTACCTCTGGGAGAAAAAAAAATAGATTTCATGTGTTAGGAGAAACAGACAGACTCTGTTATGACATGACACTATCACAGATTTCCAGCACTGCAAGTAGGTGTCACATAAGCACATCTACAAACAGCAATTGGCCCAACCCACCATTTATGAACTGGATTAGGAAATTAATAAGGTATTTGAAATAGGTGGCCAAGTGGAAGGAAATTTGAAACAGCAATTCAGATGACAGACAGAGAGACTAACAACCTGAACTCCCTCCTTGCACCCTCACTATTAAAGGATAGAAGGCTTCATCTCTTGCTGGAAAATCTTTCCTTTACAAAGGAAAGACTTGAAAAGGCCCAGGCTAATAAGTATACTGCATTTTCTGAATTTTTGCAAGAGAAATCAAAATATTATTCCAAAAATCTCAGAATTTCACTTGTACTCTCAGGTTTCATGTTCATAATCTCTCTGGGAGATTTCAGACTTCGTAATTAATTTCCTTTTTGGTGCTACCTGGACAATTTCCATAATTCAGTGCAAATTAATGACTCGAATGCTTCATAAAAATATTTAAGATAAAATTTTTTAAATACCTCAAAGAAAATTATTTGACATTTATAGTCTTTCAAAATTTCTCATGTTCTTACATGTTTATTATGGGTTTCAGCATAAACAAAAGTTCATTATTCTGTAAAACAATGTTTTGAATGTCTGGGCACAAATAAACAGGACTTAGTCATTACAAAAGATGTTGTATTTTGTCATGACTCAATTAAATATAATTATTTTTCTCTATTAAATAAATTAAGATCGTTACAGCACATCTTTACTGAAATGTAAAATCATTTAGCTATAATGTAGTTTGTTTCAGTAATCTTTTACAATTGCCAGACCTTTGTTGTGAACAAGGAGTTTCCACATTCATGTGGTATTTTACAGGCACACACAAACCCACTCTGCTCCTTCTCAGGGCTGCCAAGGAAGTGCCCAGGTGCAGCAGTTTAGTGCTAAATTTACACTGTGCCTATTGGCAGGATTTGTTATGTTGTACACTGTTCTGTGCTTATCACAGCTACCTGAATTGCACCAAAGGGTAAACAGAAAAAGCTTACATCTACTTGCTAAATATTTTAAACATACCTCTAGCAAGACCTCCCCTCTAACTCCAAAAATCAGAGCAAATAAAAACATGCTTAAGAATTACATCTTGGGCTATCTTTCTGCAGAGAGTTCTTATTTGCAAATTTTGCAGAAACTGGGAAACCATATCTCAAATTCATTATTACCTATTACTTGAAGGACAGAAATGGATATTTTTGAAAGCGAGAAAGAAAGTAAGATCTCTCAAGGCACACAGCTGGGTTCCAGACCATTCTATGATTCTGTGATTTCAGGGGAACATATTCCTCTGTTCCTTTTGACTGCATCAGAAATCAGGCTCAGGGGAGAAAAAAGTCTGACTGCCAAAAGATACAAGTTTGTGCATAGGAAGAGTCTCTTTCCTATTTCTTGAGTTCCCATCAATATTACTGTACTTTCTTTTACAGAAAAAAAAAAAATCACTATTAGGTTTGTAAATAATAATTTGTAATAATACAATTTTGATCTCTTCTGCATCTAATAAAATCAATATTTTTAAAATACATATTGGTATGAGATGGTTTCACTTCATGCTGACAGCTTTACCAAACCAATTACAATGAAGTGCATATTAATACGAAAACCGTATTTTAAAAAATACTGTATTTACAATAGACCTTGTAGATACATATTATTTATTCTGCAAATCTGTTAAGTTTTGTCACATACCAGGCATATATGAGTGCTGCTCATTAAATGCTGTTTATAATATAAATAGATTGGTGGAGTTCCACCTTTCCATTCTTGAGGGACGCCCACCTGGAGTCAGAGGAGTCCCACGCCTCCCAGTGTCAGGCAATAGGAGGACACCAGGTGGATGAAGGGGAGTAGAATGGGGTCCTTATTCACAGAGGTAATAAAAATTCCTTCAGACCCCCATAACCTACCCAGGTGCCACTTCAGAACAGGTATGAGGCCCTGTATCTAGAGGGTCAGCCAGAGGACCTAGAAGAAAATGATCTGCCCAGGGAGCCTCCCAATTACACTTTGTCTGTCAGGCAATCACCACCCCTGGACATTAAGAAGAAAAGAAGTGCTGTCATAGCGGGTGATTCCCTCCTGAGGGGGACAGAGGGCCCCATATGTCACCTGGAGCCATCGCACAGGGAGGTCTGCTGCTCCCTGGGGCCCAGGTACAGGATACTGCTGAGAGACTCCCGGGGCTGATTCAGCCCTCTGGTTATTGCCCACTGCTGATGCTCCAGGCTGGCAGTGGTGGGACTGAAAAGAGCAGTGTCAGGGCAATTGAAAGGGACTTTAGGCCACTGTGTCAAGTGGTTGATAGGGCAGGAGCCCAGGTAGTGCTCTGCTCAGTCCCTTTGGCGGCTGCAGAGCACAGAGCAACTGGAAGGAATGGATTTCTCAGCATGTTCTAGTAGCTCCAACTAACTTCTCATTCCACTGCTATTTATTTCTCTCTTTGACCTAGAAAGCCATCACCTTAATACCCATCTTTCCTGCCTGATGACCTGTACTGCTGCCAAGTAACATTTTTTTCAGAGATGGCCTAACTATTAAAAATCTAATTAATCTTTCAGTAACTATTATCAACTCTCAACTTGCAGTAAGCTTTAAAGATTGAAGCTTCTACTTTAAATGCCTGAAAACTAATGCCTTATTGAATTCGTTCAACTATTTTGTTATTATATAAGTTCTTACTTCTACCTACAACTTAGTCTTTTGAATACGTGCAAAATAATTTGAATTATACAGAGATCTTTCACTTAATTTTAAATTCCCAGCAAAGACAGGAAGCAAACTTTTTTCTCGTTTATTCTTTGAAATATGACTGAGAATTATGTGAAATGATCAGAACTCTACATGTTATTTCCCTGTAGTTTAACTTGATGTAAAGCTTTCTGAACAGTTCAATTCTTGTGTATCAGCAAAAAATTAAACATTACTGCAGTAATCAGAATCAGAATATGATTTCCATTACTGTAACATTTCCTATCTGATTTTTTCAGCTTATTAAGAAATTTATTTCCCAGCAGTATTTGATTTGTTATCATTTAAATTACTAAATTTTGAATTTCAACAAGAACACGTATTTTAATATCAGGGAAAGTTTCTTTCACATTTGATAAACCTAGAGTCCCAGAAATTAAGGAGGTGACAGACTGTTTACTCATAAAATTTTTCTCATAATCAAGAATGCAAATGAGAAAATCAAAATAGAAGAAGTAACTGAGTAAACAAATGAATATTAAGCTGTATTTAACACATCTATACTTTCTCTTGATGAACAATGTACGTATCAATATGCTATCTCTGCATAGAAGCTGTCATCTGGTACAATCTGTTCTATTCCAAGGGTAGAAATATCCAACTTTATAGGCCCAAAGGGATTAATCATTCTGGTAGAGACAATACAGCAATAGCCAACAGAGAGTAGCTCCACAAGAAGCAGAGAAAACCATCTCAAATTACAATTTTATCTAGCAGCAGTTTTTTATTTAGCAGAGTTTAACAAGCAGCCCCCTCCAACAGCCCAGCACACCAACAAAACCACCTTAAAATTATTCTCCCTTCTCCTATCCACTCATCAAAAAATGACCTGGCTGAACACGTTAAAAAACAAAGCAAGCAAGCAAAAACCATCTTTTGCATTCATAATTATGGGGTATTTTAAGTGCACTTCCATTGATAATAGGTGAGAAGAAAGCATGTGGAATGTGGCACTAAAAATCTTGTAATTTCAGCTGGCATTTCAAAGTCATGCTAGCAAAAGCCAATAATGTGACATTTAAAACATTAAAGCTTTGAAATCTCCAGGTGAATCCAACCCATTTGGGTTCAAATCCCCTTTAATGGTGTCTCTTTTAGGCTGTAAAGGGATAAGCTTAGGGACTAATCACGCCCTTTAAACCTCCTGGCTGCCAATCAGATTGTGGAAGCAGGCCAAATTGTGCAAGTGGTTTCACAGCACAAAAAAAAGAAAGGGAAGCTGCCCACAGGTCAGGCAAGGCAAGAGCACCAGGGTGTCCAAGTGGCAGCAGTAAGCAGAAAGTCCACTGCAGACATTAAAAGAGAAGGTTCCCTAGATGTTGGTAGACCATGCAGCTGTATCCAACAGTCTGTATTTGCTTTACAATAGTACCATGTTAAACAGTCAAATCTTTGCAGTCATAAAATAAAAGCTTGCTATTAAGGACACATCTGTTGGGAAATCTGAGGTCTGACAGTGATCCAGTTATTTTAAAAATCTATAACTGGCAATGGTTTTCAAATCTGCACTGTACTGGTTGAAGCAAGACTACAGGGCCCCAGCAGTTACCTCTGCAGAATCTGTGAAAGACAACTAGGCATGGCACATCAGAACTTTTTCACTGTCCTACCATACAAATTTGGGAACTCAAGCAAACTAAGAAGGGAAAATGATTTTTTTAAAAAACAAGTCCAGGTTTTAATGAGAGTTACAAAATCTTGTTTTTATATGAATTTTTATAACTATACCATGTCATTTTGAAGCACACACAAAGGGTATTTTTGCATTGTATGAATAAAGGGTCACAGCACCTTTCCATCAAAGCGAATTGGATGCAAATTTCAGTTGTAGTAAGTATTTGAAGGAGACACATTGAATCCATAGTGGATATATTAAATACCTATTTGCACTCAAATTCATTCTGTTTCATTAGTAAATGTGGACCATGGCATTCTCAGTCATGATCATTATGACAGTCCACCGCCTTGTACTAAAGCACAGCAAGGAAAACAAAAGAATGCCTGTGAGTAACCTAATTTCCTAACCTAGCTTTTCTCAAGCTCTTACACTGCCTGCATAACAACTCAGTGGAGAAGTTATAAAATTGCATCAAATCACAGCAATTACAATAAGAAAGCCTTGAACCTCTACTATTATTTGGAGGGGGGGAAATGAAACCCATACCAAACCACCAAACTAGTCTAATAAAGCTGTATGTAATTACTATTAAGTAATTCTCTCAACTGGACAGGGACCAGACCTTTCTTACAGAGATACAACTGATCAATACCCAAGTCATCACAAGGATTCTGTTTCTGTTGGCAGTAATACAACCCTCTCTGTCCTTTAGAAATCTTTTTCTCTGCTTCAGGGAGAGAAAGTTCCTTCCTTTATCCAGTTTGCACCTCTTGTGTGTGTCATTGTCTCATGTCCTAAGCTCATCTGCTTGGTTCTGGCTTCTTGATCACTCCTCTGTACTGGGGGTTTGTCCTCCCAGAGCCTCCTCTCCCTCAGGGCTGAAGCCCTGAAGAAGGATTCAGCTTCTCAGCTCAGTATGTTCTCAGAAGACAGCTTCAGGTCCTGGCCTCCCTGAAGCACCATGCTGAACTTGCTGCAATCTGCAAACATCTTTCTTCACACTTTATTAATGTGGAACTTCTGTTTTTGAAACCACCTGGGCTTTTATTTGGCTCTAAACAAACGTGAAATAGTAATAAAGCAATAACTAGGGAATTTGAACTAAAAATTGTGAACTTAGAAATACTGATAAATATAATTGTAGGGTAAGTGAGGTGCCTGTTACTCAGCTTTGGGGAGTGCTGTGCCTCCATACTTTAAATCACAGCGAAAAAAATCCCTTTTGAATTACTTCACCACTTACCATATTTGCCATATACATTAATTATTCCAACTATTTTTCCAAGGTCAAATGTAAGGTGAACACCCAGCAATACTGCATAAAGATGAATGCCTGAGCTGCTTATCCTCTTTGCAATTATTTCTCCTTCAGCTTGATCCTTTCAGTGGGTCACCTATTGTAATTCTGTGCAAAATCAGCAACATTCAATATTGGCAGCATTACACAGAGCTCGTTAGCTACTCACAAAAGCACAGAACACACATCAAAGAGGGAAAGAAGGAACCTGACTTTCTGTATTTTATTTTCAAGATGCTGCTCTACGACTTGGCCTAGATTTGGTCTGCCAGCTTTTGCCTGGCCCAGTTGAACTCACTTTTAAATTTCCATCCACAGCTCTGTCTACTGACACACTGCAGTAGAGCAGGTGTGAGTCTAGAGAAGTCGTGGAATTTACCAATGTAAAACTCACGAAACATGAGGTTGCTGCCAGGTCTCCTATGTCTAGAGCAGCTTCCCAGTCATTATAGAGTGAACCAAGAATGTTCTCAGGTTACAAAACACCTGTCTCACACAGCGTAAACCCACCTGTCTCACCACTGCCATGTGTGATGTCCTGAATTCTCAGCCGTCTCTCTATCTGTACCATTTTAATTAAAGTCCTAGATGACGAACTAAAGAAACACAAGATCTCAGGCACTGCATGTACTTATTTGTGGAATGCTTACATAACCTCTGTATCCACTGTATTAAATTATCAGTAAATTCAGAGCTGCAGCTTGTTTTTGGAAGTGTGCACCTATACCTTCTTTACTTATGCATAAAAATTACCACTTCCTATGCACATATACATCACATCTTGTTCCAAAATCTATTACAGACTGACAGCAAAAAGCAAGGAGCTAAAAAAATACCAGGGAAACAAAAATGACAAGTAGCTTTACACTATTTGAAGAAAAGTTGCTTAAAATGCAATTGATAATTAAAGTTTTTTAATTTTCTTCCTAGAGGAAAAAAAAAATCTTCGGAATACGCACACAGAAAAATAAAAACTGCATAACAAGGTTTTACTGCTGCTTTTATTTTCTTTCATTATCCAGTTTGTGAGAGTTTTTCTTCTAAAAAAACAGCTAGGATTTTTTTAGCCTAAACTGAGCAAGGTGACAACTGCCCTTAATGACAGGTTTTTTTTTAGTTTTTATATTTTAGACACCACCAAGAAGAAAAAGGAGCCCCTTTTAGAAGAAATTGA